GAGACTCTGTCCGGCCTCCGGCCCCTTCCGAGCTGCATTATCTGCGACAAGCACTTACCCTGGACCGCCGACACGTGCGATCGGCTATGCATCCCGAGGATCATCTTCGACGGCATGAGCTGCTTCGCCCAGCTCGTGATGCACCGCCTGTACGCTTCGGAAGTCCATACAACCGTGGGCCCATCTGAGCCTTTCGTCGTCCCGGGCCTTCCCGACAGGATCGAGTTCACCAGGCTGCAGCTGCCAGGGTACTTCAACCCCGGGTCGGTGGACTTCGGTGATTTTCGGCGAAGAGTGAAGGAGACCGAGCACCGGGCCCATGGGGTCGTCGCCAACACGTTCGAGGAGCTCGAGGGAGGGTACTTAGACGAGTATCGGAAGTTGAAGTCGGGCCGGGTTTGGTGCGTCGGCCCGCTTTCTCTATTTGGGGACGACGGCCCGCTAGACCGGGCCCAGAGGGGGAATCGGGCCTCGATCGATGCAGGGGAATGCGTCGGGTGGATGGATAGACGGAAACCCGGTTCGGTTGTGTACGCCTGTCTCGGGAGCCTGAGCCGCCTTTCGCCGGCGCAGTTTGTCGAGCTGGCTCTGGGTCTTGAGCTTTCGGGCCGACCGTTTATTCTTGTGGTTAAAGGTGGGGACAAGTCAGAGGAGATCGAGAAATGGATCTCGGAGTCCGGGTTCGAGGAGAGGGTCGGGGAGAGGGGGCTACTTATCCGAGGGTGGGCCCCACAGGTGCTTATCCTGTCCCACTCTGCAGTCGGGGGGTTTCTGACGCACTGCGGGTGGAATTCGACACTGGAGGGTGTGTCGGCTGGCGTGCCCATGATCACGTGGCCAATTTTCGCCGAGCAGTTTCTGAACGAGAAACTGGTCGTGCAGGTCCTAAGGACGGGCGTTGGGGTGGGGGCAAAGAGCGTCGCGCATTTGGGAGAGGAGACGAAGCCGGAAAACGAGGTGGCGAGGGAGAACATTAGGAGGGCCGTCGAGAGTGTGATGGACGCGGGCCGGGATGGACAAGAAAGGCGGGAAAGGGCGAAGGAGCTCGGGAGGAGGGCGAAGGGGGCCGTGGAGGAAGGAGGATCGTCTAGTGCGA